ATTCCTGATCCAGGTAAGGGCTCTCCTACAGCTCAGGAATATTCCTGATCCAGGTAAGGGCTCTTCTTCAGCTTAGGGAACTTTCTGAGTGTGGGATGAAGTCACTGCAGCTCTTGAGTGTCACAGAAAGTCAGAGAGTTCTTTCCCTTGGCTAATTCTTTGACCACAGAAGTAATCTTAGACTAAAAAGAAGTTCTTAAATTTTTTATAGAAGGTTTTAAGTCAGCTTTGGGTTTGTTGTTTGGGTTTTTTCCCCCCTTTCTCCAGAGAATAATTCTTTTCATGTATAAATTTATTTTTTTTTTCCAACAGGTATTGGTAGCCTGGCTGCTTCCTACCTGAATCCTGTCAAGTCCTTTGTGCCTCAGATGCCAAAGCTGCTGAAGTCCCTGTTCCCTGTTAGAGATGAGAAAAAGGGCAGGCAGAGCTCCCCCTTAGCACAGCAGGTAAAGCATTAAATCACCCACTAAATCCAATATTGGTGAGTGCTGCTGGGCTTGCTGGCAGAGAGCTGCTTTATAAAAGTTGTTGCAGAGCAAACCAAGCTTTTAGGCAGAGCAAAACCTCGTGATCCATTTCCCCTCCATCCTGTCCAGGGGTAGTGGAGCTGCTGGAACTTATTGACACACACACACTCAGCCCACTTGGCTTTTTACAAGTGCCAGCTCCACTCCCTGGGTGATTTATGGGCCTCCCACTCACAGCAACAATGGTGAAATTTATGGAGGGCACTTAGTGTTGTTTGTGTATTGCCAGGAGGAAAATGTAATTCTATTTTTAATTCCTTATTTCATATCCCCTCCCTCCCAACCCTCAGCCCAGCTTGTGTCACCTTTTACCATCTTTTCTTGTGTACTTGGGGCAGTTGCTTTTGTTCATTCTTATCTGTTCCACATGTCATGGAAACATTTGATTTCCTTTTTTCCTTTTGGATGTTGTGCTGCAAAGCTCCCACCTGCTCCAGGTGTGACTTCTGTGCTCTGAGCAGAAGTTGATGCACGGTCAAGCTGACTGAAAAAACACTTCTATCTTTAAAAAAAACCCACCAGAAATAGAGAATCCTATTGTAAATCATAAAATCTCCTTTATTTGTGAGGCTGTGGTTTATTTTATAAAGGAATATTTCCCTCTAGAGTAAATTTTGAAGGTTTAACTGCTGTGAGGATGAATCTGGAGCCAGATCTTATGTGAAAGTTTTTGGGAGTCCATTCTGTCCATGCTGGCTCTGCTCTCACCCTCTTCCTTTGCATGGAGTTCTGGAAGCTCATCACTCATTAACTCAGACTTTTCCTCACCTCTTCCCATGCAGTCAAACATTTCACAGAATATCTTCCTCAAAACAAACCCTGAAATCCCTGAACAACTCTTTTTTTTTTTTTTTTATGAATACAGGTATTTTGTTTGCTAAAACTAAACTTAAACAGGAACATCCCAGGAGTACAGGAAGTTGTTTTGGCATAATAGAAATACAATAAAATATTAAATAGAGGGGAAAAAAAATCTGCTAACACTTAAATATTTTTAAAAGTAATTTCTGGCACATATAGCACAAATAAGAATGAGGCTGTTTTAAAGTATTTTTTAGCTTGATTGGGGATTAATTTTACATTTTCATGTTGCCCTTTGCTTGGTGTTGAGGCTGGAATTGTACAAACCTCCTCATGTGTGAACTGTAGAGAATTAAAATGAGGGTGGTGACTTTCTTTAAAGGTATTTGGGTATGGAAAGATGCAAATAGGTGCTCTTACAATTGCAGTGAGAGCCTTTCACACCTTCTTGAATCCTCAGTGAATCAGTGAGAGCTGAGAGGAGAAACGAGGCCTAATTTCCTGCCTCTAGTCTAACCACCTGTTCCCACTCCTTTCCTGTTCAAGATCAGTCGTGGATGATTTGTCTAGAAATCAAGTTTTAAACTACAGAGACAGCTCTTTAATGAGATTTTTAGTTTCTTTTATGGATTACTATGGATAATCAACCAGGTCATGATCTCAGTGATTTTTAATAGGAGAGGAAATGCTATTAATGCTTTGTTTTATAAAAAATTAGTATGTGATGCTTCCATGCTGGAGAGCAGCCCAGGGTTTCCATGGCCAGTGGATCTGTGGAATAGAATGAATTCTTTACTTTCAGGTTTTGCAATGGAACAAATCAGCTGTATTGCAAATGCACTTCCCTGATTTGAGAGGTTTTACAAATTCCTTGCAGCTCTCTCTGTAGGGAACTGGGGCCTCTTCTCTGCTGTCAGCAGTCCCAGGAGATTGTGGAATATCCTGAGCTGGAGAGATCCACAGAGATCATTGATCCAACCCCTGGCCCTGCACAGACACCCCAAAATCCCATCCCTGAGAGCATTGTCCAAACATTCCTGGAGCTCTGGCAGCTTTGGGAATGTCACCATTCCCTGGGGAGCTGTTCCAGTGCCTGACACCCTCTGGGGGAAAAACCTTTTCTAATCCCAACCTAGGGAAAGAAGAGAAAAGAACTGAAGGAATTGCCCCAGAATCAGCTCCAGTTTCTTCTGTGCAGCACAAAAATAAAGAGGTGTCTGGCTTTTGAAGATCATAAATGTCCCATCCCATAATCTCCTGTTCTTTCCAATGGCCTGAGGGTGCAAACGTGGGCAGAGGAGTTGATCTGGAGGTGGTGATGGATGGCTGGGGGACATGGGGGGCTCAGGGGTCACTGCGAGGCAGGCAGGCAGACAGAAATTCCTGTGGAACTGGAGAAACTTTGCCACTGAGGGGGCACAAAAAATCATCTTTGTGAGCCCCAGGGAATACAGAACAGCACCTGGAGCTCTGTGGGAGGAGGGAATTTCAGTGCACACGGGCAGGGGACATAAATGAACGTGCAGGGTGGGAGAAGTGGGTGGTGAACTAAAAAAATGTAAGGGAGAGGCAAAACCTAAAGGACTTTGTGCCTTTCCTTGCAAAGGGATCTGACCCTTAACTGGGAGCTGCTGGAGTTTTGTTGCTTTAAACAATTTGGGAGAGCAGGGTTTAGGAATAGAAATGAAAGAGGGGATGGAAGGGTCTGAATCATCCTTTCCTGGGCTGGAAGCTGAGATATGGGGAGATTCAGGTTGGATTTTGGGAAAAGGTTCTTCCCTCAGAGGGTGACATTCCCAAAGCTGCCAGAGCCCCAGGAATGTTTGGACAATGCTCTCAGGGATGGGATTTTGGGGTGTCTGTGCAGGGCCAGGGGTTGGACTGGATGATCCTGGTGGGTCTTTGCCAGCTCAAGATATTCTTTGATTCCATGAAAAGGAAATTTCCAAAGGAGCAGGACTGAACCTTTTCCCAGATTTAGAGTTAAGGTCACCACAACTATCCCAAGTGGGTGTGGTACCAAATCTCTGATGCTGGTAAAAAAGGAGATCAGTTCTGATCAGTCATTATAAAAATACACTTTTAAAATTATTTTAGCAGCTTTTTATTTCAGTCCTGCCCATAAAGCAGCATCGACATTAAGGTGAGCGAGCCCACACAAAATTACCTTTACAAAGGGATCTTCCCTTGTTCAGAGTGGTTGCTTGAGCTTAAAAACAAAACAAAAAAAAAAAAAAGGCAGAGACATCCCAGTCAAGGTGGTGGCAGTGAACAAAATTGCTGTCTTTGACCTTCTGCTGCAAGTTTAGTAACTAATCTGGAGAATAATGAACCGCAATTAATGAAATCTGCTCTCGTATTCAAGTGTGTTTCTCAGACAGCACATAAAATAATTGAAAGAACTTCCTGCTCTCTAATTAGTTAGATTGAATTAATTTGGCATAATAGGATTCTTTATGTAACTCACAGAATGGCTTCCGATGAAGCTGTTTATGTACCTAAAAGATTGGGTTCTGATGAAGCTGTTTATATACTTTAAAGTTAGAAAATGCCTATTTTCTCCTTTATCTGATGCCTTTAAATTAATTGCCAGTAGTCTGTAAATAAAAAAAATAAATTAAAAAAAAAAAAAAAACCAACAATTTAAACCTTTCTCGATGGCTGGAATTGCTTTTTATTTTCCCTGCCTATTCTTGAAAAAGCTGAGAATCACAGAGTGCAAGATTTGGAGCCTTCTGACCCTCACTGCTGATGGGGAGAAGTTTAAAATCTTTGTATAAAATAAGGAGGTGGAGGGAGAAGCTGAGATTCATCTGTCTGTGCTTAATTATATTATGCAGGAATTGAAACTCCTCTTTTTTATTCACATGCTGAGGCTTTCCCTGTGTGCACCAAGCAGAATTCCTGCTCTTTTCCCTTGTAACCCCATGGCTCTCCAGGAACTGTGTAATCTACATTTCAGGGCATCACTGGGTGCTGACATTAAAAATGGACATATTAAATTCCAGTTTCTGGGGTTTTTTTTGGCATTGCTGTGGCAGAAGGAAATTCCTGTGGCAAATTTGGTGAGTGGATTTTGGTCACCTTCCTATCCAAGAATCTTTTTGGGTGCTCAGATGTCTTTTTGTTAGCACATGGCTTGAGAGAGAGATGTTGAGCCACAGATTTGTTTTAAAAAAAAGAGAAACTCTTTGAATTTCCATATAATTCATTTTTTGCTTTATGGTGTAACCACATGGAGAGGGCAGCTGTCACTTCTTTCCCTTCCACCTTCTGATGCAGGCATAGAAATTAATCTTAAAAACTAATGAAATGCAGTTAATGAAAGGCTTTCTAAATAGACAAAACCCCTTTTCTGGCACTCCATTAAAAAATAACAGTTTCATGCATGGGCCTGGTGCACTGTATAATTTCTAGAACTGACATTCCTTAATCAAATGTAAATAATGTGGCCTTGGAGAACCTTCTTTAACATCTTGAAGGCTTTTTTTTTTTTTTCCCCAGAGTTTCAAGTGAAAAATCATTTGGATGCTACAATCAGCAGAGCTCGTGTGTCTGTCTCCTTGTGACTCAGTTGTTGGTGTTTTGATTTCTTCCTGAAATCAGTTTTCCCTGTCATCCTCAAATACAAATAGTTTTTGATGAGAATGAGTGTGGAAAACTGGCTTTGGAAGTTTCAAATCAAAAAGTCGAATTTCTTTATCAACTAACTTAGAAATGGGTATGAATTACTCTTTTAATATGCCAGGATCTGGAAATGAGCTGCATATGAAATTGTGTGGTTAATTTTGTATAAATTCTACTAGAAATGGGGAATTCTGAAGTGTTATTATGGGCTGAAACATTCCACATACAGAATGTGGAATAAGAGGGGGTTGTTTGGGTTAATATTTAAATGCAGAGTGTATTTATAGAAGAAAATGAGCAAACACCAAAAAAACCCAACAAATTAACTTACACTGGATTTCAGATCTCCTTGTGGAAGGCAGGAGATTTTATATTTGAGTAATTAATGACTTTGCCCTCAATTTTTAAATAATTTTCAATAGGAATATTGTTGGGGTGGGGGGGTACCTTTTAGAAATTGATTCTTTTTTGGGGAGGGGCTATGTACTAGGGAATTTGGAATTCTCCCTGAATTTCCATGCATGCCTTGTGGAAGTATTTTCTCCTGAGTGCTCCAAACTGATTTAAATCTCTGTTTAATGAATTTAAATCTCTGTCCTGCTGCAGAAGTTCCCAGTAGCTGCTGTTAAATAGTGATGGGACTGTAACATTGTCAGTGGGAGGGTCCTTGGGCTCAGCCACTCCTGTCTGGTGATGGGAAAGCAAAAGAGAAGAGCAGTGGAAGTTTGGGATAATGTCCCTTTAGGGTTGTGTCAACCTTGGCTAAACCATACCTGGCATTCACAGGCAATTCTTGGCTGCACTGGCCTGATCTGGTCTCTTAAATGCCACTGAACTTTCTGCATATTGGGTGTTAATACTGAGGGATTTTCATCCAAGTGACACGAAATCAAAGGCTTTGCACTGAGGTCATCACTCACTGCTGCCAGAGGCTTTTCACAAAGTGTTTAATGACACAGACATACCAAGTGTGTTTTGCTGAGCTCTTTAAAGAGGTGGCCATTTTATACCTGTGGAATATATGGGATGAAAAAATGTTCATTCAGGATTAATGGTGGTGCCTCTGTAACTGGGCAGAGACACACAAAATGCTTTTCCTCTTCAAGCTCACCAGCATGGCAGGTTGGGCTCTCTTTTGGTCACTTCAGAGAATGTGCACAGTGAGCTCTCAGTGAGCAGAAAATGTGCACTTGTAGAGATCAAAGATTCATGGAATTAATGGGATGGTTTGGGTTGGAAGGGACCCCAAAGCTCACCCAGTTCCACCCCCTGCCATGGGCAGGGACACCTTCCACTATCCCAGGTTGCTCCAAGCTACATCCAGGCTGGCCTTGGACACTTCCAGGGATCCAGGGGCAGCCCCAGCTTCTCTGGGAATTCCATCCCAGACTCTCCCAGGGAACAATTCCTTCCCCATATCCCAATATTCCCTCTGGCAGTGGGAAGCCATTCCCTGTGTCCTGTCCCTCCATGCCTTGTCCCCAGTCCCTCTCCAGCTCTCCTGGAGCCCCTTTAGGCTCTGCAAGGGGCTCTGATCTCTCCCTGGATCCTTCTCTTCTCCAGGTGAGCACCCCCAGCTCTCCCAGCCTGGCTCCAGAGCAGGGGGCTCCAGCCCTGGGAGAATCTCTGTGGATTCCTCAGGTCTCTGTCCACAGCTCCACCTCCTTGTGCTCTTGGCCCCGGGGCTGGAGCAGCTCTGCAGGTGGGGTCTCACCTGAGAAGGGCAGAATCCCCCCTCCCCTGGTGCCCAAACTGTGGGATCATCCCAGCATTTGGGGGATTTCTGGGGTGTGAGTTCACCCCCCTGGGGCACGTCCAGCTTCTTTATATCCTCATCATCTCCCTGCACAGAGCAGCAGTTCTTAGGAGAAGACAATCAAAGATGCTTTAAAGTGAAAAGCTTTCATGTTCTCCCTCACTCAGGGAGTTTTGTCAGCTTGGTTGAAGAAATTCTGCCAGAAATCATCACTGTAAAAGGGCCAGTGGATAAATAGAGGCATGGAGTTTAGCAGCCACTATCTACAAACATTTCATGATAGAATTTGGCTCTGCATCCAGAAATATTTTTCATCCAGCAACATCTTCCCAGCTACTCCCAACACTTTGTTTTTAGGGTTCCCCCCTTCCCCAAGGAATTTTACCTCACAAATTTCACCCCACAGATCTGGTGTGGTGCCCCAGTGAGGCTGATCCTGCCCAGCTGCTTCTTGTCAGCACCAAAGCTGGGAAGTGCCCCCTCTCAGAATTGCTTTTTTCTCCCTGTTTTTCTAAATTTTTCTTGGCAAAGTTGCTGTAGTTTTGGAGATCTGTCATGCTTTCTGGAGGAGAACTTGATGAGGAGTGATTAAAACCTAATGGTTTTCTTTCTTTTGCTGTGTGATACCAACTGGATTTTTAGATTTTTGTGGATCTGCAGGCTGTAAGACTGGAGGTTTTGGAGAGATAAAAACCCAAACAAACGCTTTACTCTGTTTATTTGTTTTAGAGGGAGAAAAGGGACTCAAAGGAACTGAGAAATGGCTTTAAATACTTTTCCTTATTCCAATTCTGAGTGCTTATTTCTGGATAATAAGGCTGGACAAATTTTATAAAACCTAAACTTTGTAGGGTTTCTTCATTGATTTATTCTGATCCATCTGCTTCCTGGAGCCCCAGGTCCTGACCCAGTGAGGATCTCAAAATGCACAAATTTGTGCACAGAAAACAGAGCCAGTCTGCTCTGAACCCCATTCCAGTGGTGAATTTTCATTTAGCAGGTTTAGGAACAAGCAAAACCCCCCCTCTCTCCTGCTTCCTTTTATTGAACTGGAGCTTTAATGTCCTCAAAAAGTTTATTTGGGTCCATGGTGACCCTGTTGGGGTTTTGTCCATTTTTTGTCTTTTTATTTTCTGCCTTGAACCACCTTGGTTTTTAATGCCTGGCAATCTCTGTATATAAAATAAAAGCTTTTTCTCTCTCATGTTTATTCCTCTTGAGGGTAAATCATATTCCTGCTTTACTGGGCTTAGAAGGGGGGTGCAAGAGGATGTTCCTTACTCTTCAGCTGGAAGGTTTTAATGCTTCAAACAGAATGTTCAGTTCTGGGAATCACTTGTCTGGGAGCTGAGCACTGCCTGTGTGTTTGTACAGAAGGAATCCTTGAGTCTCTTGGAAAAAAAAAAAAAAAAAAAAGAATAAAAGCAGGCAGCTCCCAAACTATGTAATGTGTCTGCCTTAAGGAGCTCTTCCCTTCAAAGTCTGAACCTGCCCTTGCAGTGAATATTTAACAGTTCACAAGAGATTTTTCTGCCTTTTTCTCCTCTCTCCTCTTCATGCTTCCCTTTCCCAAGGTTCTGCACTGATCTGGTGGTTCCTTCCCCTCCTGTGTGACAGCCCAAGCTGACAGCATAACCTCAGATTTATATCAGGGGTCACAATGGGCTGCTCAGGTCTCAGGAGAGGGATTATTTCAAATCTGCAACATAAAAACCTGAATATGGAGCAAGTGGGGGCTGTTTTTTGTCAGTGGCTGCGTGTCCAGCCCTGTGCAGCAAGCACATGAATTTCCTGGGAATGTCCTCCTGGAAAAGGGCATGCACAGACCTGGATTCTGCCTTCCTTTCTGAGTTCAAGCCAATAATGCTCACATCCAAGCTGAATTTAGAGACTGGAAAAGGAGAAAGAGTTCTGGAGATCAAACCATAGATCCTTCATGTTGTAATAACTCAGCACCACCCCCGTGGTCAGGACCAATCCATGTCCTCAAGTGCCACATCCAGAAGTTTTTGAGCACTTCCAGGGATCCAGGGGCAGCCACAGCTTCTCTGGGCACCCTGTGCCAGGGCCTCCCCACCCTCCCAGGGAACAGTTCTATCCTCATCTCTAACCTAAATCTTTTTTAGCTTAAAACTATTCCCTCTGCCTGTGTAAAAAGCCTCTCTCCCTCTTTTTTGGACAAACCCCATTTCAAGCACTGAAAGTCTGATTCAGTTTTTTCATCCTTTCATGGCAAAGGTTTGCTTAGGATCCCAAATTTTCAAATACCAGCTTTAACGTTTACCAGTTTGCCAATGCTTAATCCTTTCATTGAATGATTCTCTTCATTTCCCTCCCCCCAGGCTGTCCCACGAATTATGGTTCAGTCAGCCAGTCTGGATGCCAGTGCTGCAAGGATAAAACAGGTGAGCACATCCCAGGATACAATTTTTATATTCACCTGCCAGAGGTGGCCAAAGCTGCTTCAAACCTGTTGCTCTTGTGCTGCTGCCTCGCTGTGAGACACTGAAATTCTGCTGGGTGTTTTAGGTCCTGGTAAAATCTCCTCTCCTATTCCTGGTTACACTTTTATGTTTGAAAGCATTAGCAGATAATTAGCTGAAATTTAGCTGGTTTGCTGCTTTAAAAGGAAGATTTCTAGGCTCTGACAGGGTCTATAAGCAGGATGTGGCTGTTCTAAGCGTGGAGCTTAATTCTCCATTTTGCCATGATATCATGGAAAAACTCTTGCTAAGCTGGAGGGAAAATAGAGCCTGTGATCCCCCACTTTTCATCAGAACTTCAGTCTCCTGAGCAGCACATCAGCTTCCTCCCACTGTGCTTCTATTGTCTTAAAAAACTGTGTTATCCAAAGGGAAAATCCAGAGAAAGAGCAACGTTCCTGAGTCCACATGAACACCACCCTTGCCATAGGAAAGTGAAAAATACGTTTTTCTGGAATATATTTTAATTTTTTTCTTCATTACATTCCACTTAGCAATAGCAAACCTTTGATTCTGAAATTCTAATAATCCAGTCAAATCCCTCTTTCTTCAAATGCTGCATAAGTTTCCAGTGGAAAAGGTGTTTTGGGAATAAGCTGAAAATCCTGTAGTTTGGGACACTCAACCACTAGATGGGAGAAATCACAAAATTGTGACTAATGACCAAAAATGTTCACCTGAGACAGGATTTGTTCAAATCTGTCCTTCTCCAGCCTCTTTTTTTTCCCCCTCCTTCCTATTAGGACTCTCCCCCCTCCCTCCTTCCCAAAGAGATTTAGAGACATCCTAATCTTTTAGAGTACATGTGCTGGCAAAAGATATTGATCTATCAGATTTAGGAAACTTTACAGCCAAGAAATACATCACTGAAATGGGCTGTTAATCTCATGAGGTGCAGTTAATTTCATCCTCTGGAAGTGCGAGGTGCTGGCGGCACTGAGGTGGGAATGGCATTTGGAAATGGGGACAGAAATGACAGTTTAGGTGCAGGGGGGGATGATTTATCCACCCAGAGAGTTGAGCCAAGTATCTGTGAGAGACTTATGGATCACAGCTTGCTTCCCATTCCATATAAATCCTGCTGTTCAAACAGCAAATGACCATTCCTGTAATATAAATAATTTTTCAGTAAATATTGGGGAGTGTATTTCTTGGGGTTGACATTTCCCTTATTAATGGAAGGAGTGAGCTGACAATTCTCCCACGCTGGCAGGGCTGACTTGGGATCAGCTTCCATCTTCTGGAGATGGCAGCTACACAGGGATTTAGATAAGCTCAAAGCCTTGCTGCTTCTCAAAGGTCTGGTATCTGTGCTTTTAGGCCAGATTTTGGATTTTATTTTGGATAACAGAGGCCCCACGTTCCCTCTCCCCCTGTGTTTCAGATGAGCCAAGAGGAAGCAGCAAAGCAGCCTCTGGAAACTGTGGCACAGACAGCCGAGGTGGACAAGAGTCTGGAGAAGCCACCCAAAGTGCCTTTGCAGCCACCCACAGGGGAAATCCAGGCCCAGGACTGCCAGGAGGGACCTCCAAGCCCCCTGAGTGAAGCCTCCAGTGGATATTTTTCCCACAGTGTCTCCACAGCCACCCTATCCGAGGCCCTGGCTGCGGGAAGCGACGCTGTGGCTCAGCCAGGTCTAACACCTGCAGGGAGTGACTCCCCTGCTCCTGCAGTGGCTCAGGTCCCTTCTGATGTGCAGGGACACTCAGACAGGGCTTCTGAGAGCTCTCTGGCCACAAAGAGGGAGAATCCCCCCACCTTCAGCCTTCCAAGTGCTCCCCCCAGACCGAGGGATAGCCCCGAAGTCAATGGAAAGTCTTGCACTTCTCCTTATCCCAGCGAGCAGGGAAACGATGCCTCTGCAGCCACTGATGGAAAACCTCTTCTCTCTACCTCCACTCTGAGGGAGTCACTATCCAAACAATCACTGGAGGCAGCAGGACAAGCCAGGAGAAAGGAGACATATTCTGGGGCTTCAGAACTGGGGTTTCCTAAAGCTCATTCCGAGCAGCCCAGCACTGCAGCATCCCCCTTCAAAATCCAGAAGGTGAAGACCTCGGAGCTGAGATCCTTCACGAGCATGCTGGGGTCAGATCCCACGAGTTCCCTGGGCACAGAAGAGCAGCAGGAAGGAGAAAAGAGCACATCCAGTGCCCGTGGACTGAACCACAACGGGTCAGAGACAGCAGAGGAAAAACTGGAGGTGATTTCTGACTCAGAAGATGGCAACGAAATTCCTGAGTGGCTGAAAGAAGGAGAATATGTCACAGTTGGCACGAATAAAACTGGCATTGTGAGATACATTGGGCCCACAGACTTCCAGGAAGGAACATGGGTTGGTGTGGAGCTGGATTTGCCTTCAGGTAAAACATCCCCTGGATCAGGTGGGAAGCAGCTGGCGTGTCCCAGCTGGCAGAGCTCATCCTAAAGCTGTTTTTTGGGGTTTATTACCCACTGGGGGGTGATTGCCCATTGCAGGGGGCATTTTGAAAAGGGAAATGTGTAAGGTCTTCCCTCCTGTCACCTTTTTCCAAACCTACTCTCACTCCCAGCCCCTTTGAGATCCCTACCCAAACCATTCTTTGATCCCTGACTGTCCCTTTTCAGTCATTTCTTTGGCTTCTTACACTGGAAGTAGGAATCAGGATTCCTTTTCCATGCACTTTGGTAAACAATAGCTGCAGGAGACAGGCCTTGTGTCCATAGGATTCTCTCCTGGGCTTCTGCTGTGAGGATAAGGCTGTTTAAAGCACAACAGGAGTTGTGGGATTTAGCTCAAAGGGACATTTAAGCTAAATGAGTTGCAAAATCTCTTAATAGTTATTAAGAGGTAATAGGATTTTATTTTAAAGTAAGCTTTAAAATTGCAAAAGACTATTTCTGTGTGTGTGTATATACATATATAGTATATATATTTATATATATATAGACACTCCTATACATGTGAAAAGCAGTGGGAAATAATCATCCACTGACCACCACTGATAATTTGAGATTTCTTTCACCATCTCATTTGTCATCCCTGCCTGACTCTTCCCTGTACAGTTGTGGAACTCCCACATTTTAGTGTTTCCAGGATTTTTTTGGGACCAGGGTGCAGTTTCTGGGGAGGCTGCTGCTGTTCCTGTGCTGTTGGTGTAGAGTAGGGTGTCTCCAGCACAAGGGGAGAGGAAGATGATGGCTGGGATTTGATCCCTGCTGGAGTTCAGGCTTCCCAACCCCTTTCCTCTCCAGGAGCAGGCAGGATTGGGGGAAGTCAGGGAGTTCCAGTGGAAAATCCGGGAGAGGTACAGCGACAGTGAGAGAATCTGGGCTATCCAGGGCACATAAAACTCCTTATTCCAAAGCTTTTAGCCTAGTGCAGCATTCCCAGGCTGGGTGGTGAATGTGCACATCCCAGGGAGCCTGCACTCCTCTCTGCTGCACATTTCCCTGGGGATGGAGCAGCTCATCCAGCAGAGCACTGCCCAGGATCCAGAGCTCCCAAATCTCCTGTGCCCCGTGTGCTCATCAGAGCTGAACTGAGCAGTGACTTCCCAGCTGGTTTCAGAAAACTCTCTGGAGTTTTCCATCCTGGAAAGCAAAGTATAGCTCTTGATCCTTTTGCAAGCTATATTAGTTATTCAGTCCGAGATTTGTGCCTCATTTAAAAAAAATATATATATGTATATTTACAGATTCATTTCAATTTTGGAAGGTCACCTTCCCTCTGTCAGACTGCTCCAGTGCTTATTTGCACATCCCAGTAAGCAGCAGCTTCCATGGAAAAGTCAGTAGATTTTTGGCCTGCTGAGGACTCAGCTGCTGATGTTGCTGGAATTTTTTTTTCCCCCCTTCTGTTTCCACAAGAATTAAGACCCTGATTTGTTGGAGCATATCTAGCTTCTGGCACATCTGGGGCTTCACTTGGGGAATGTGGTCACAAAGTGGTGTCTTTGTCACACTGCAGACAGGGACAGAACTCCAAGGACATGGGAATCCAAGTCCTGGCCATGTGGGGGTACATTGGACCCAATGTGCTGATGGTGGAAGGGGGAAGGAAACAAAAGCCAAAAGGGTGACTTTATATCATTTAAAGAGCTGTTGGATCTTTCCACCTTCCCTTTATGGATGGGAGCAACCCCTGAACAGTGATCCTGAGAATTTTAAATGGTCTAAAAGGAGAAATAGAAAGATCTCAACAGCACCAGTGTAGAAAAATCATCCTTCGTGTTCTGTGCAGGGTTTATGACACGGCAGGAGTGACAATCCTCAGCTTCAAACATCAGTTCAGAAAGCCAAAAGCTCTTTTAAAGTTTTGCTTTCCCTTCTTTTCTGGTACTGTGGTAATGGAATTATCAAATTATTTTTACATATTATTTTTTATTATTATTATTATTATTACCAATTATTTACCACTTTGGGAGAAATTACAGAGCAGGTGGGAAGGCAGGATAAGGCAGAGTGTCCCATTCAGAGTCACTCTCCATGCAGTGCCCTTGCTGAAGTTTTCCCTCCAGGATGGATTTTTAGGGAACAATCATTCTCCCTCTCACCACTTTTTCCTTGCCTCTTTTCTGGGTGCAGTAGCACCAATTTGCACAGAATAAAAACCCATTTTGTAAGGAAAAAAACCCTTTCCCTGTGAGGGTGGCACAGTTTGTAGCCGCCACATCCCCGCAAGCGCCCAAGGCCGCGATGCAGCCCCGGGACAATGGAAGGTGCCGGGGCTGGAAGGGGAGGGGATTTAACATCTCCAAATCATCCCAGAGCAGTGTGTGACTCCCTGCTTGTCGTGTCGCAGGTAAGAACGACGGCTCCATCGGAGGGAAGCAGTATTTCAGGTGTAACCCCGGCTATGGGTTGCTGGTGAAGCCGGGCAGGGTGAGGAAGGCCCCGGGCCCGGCGCGGCGCCGCAGCTCCGGCCTCAGGCTGCAGGGAGACAACAGGAGGAGCGGGAACTTCTCTGGGTCTGCCTCCAACCTGGCCTCCCTCACAGCCCTGGCCAAGGCAGAGGGAGGATCCACGCTGCGACTGGAGAAGAGCCAGAAAAACGCGGAGAACAGGAAATCCTGGGCGAACTGAGAGATCCCAGCCCAGCAAACGCCCTGGGACGCGGCCGGGGGAGCTTCGGGAAGCAAAACCAAGCATGGCAGCTTCCAGTTGGTGGCAAACACTAATGAAGGGTTTGTTCTCTCTGCTCTGGGTGATTGACAGATAATTCTTTGCCTCGTGGTGGTGCTGGATCCTTCGTTTCCTGTCCCAAGTCCTGGCGTCTCCGATGGCAGCCGGGGTGGGTGTAATGAGCTCCTTCTCTTCCTCCTTTCTGAGGAAATTTGGTCAAACCACAGCACAGCTTCCACTAAATCCTCCCCAGGCACCCTCCAAGTGCAGGGCAGTTCCTGAAGAACCTCCCCAAAGTAGCAGCTCTGTTGTAATTCCAGAAGAGCTGAGTCGGTATGGTGTAATCATCACGAAAGGACAAGGTGGGAATGATTGCAGACGGGCAGAAAAGTGAAAGTAGAACTTGGTTTGGAGATAAAGAAGCCCCAAAGTCCCTTTATTTAAAGCAGCAGCAGCCCTTGGGTTATGTGGCTGGGACCAGTGCCTGTTTGGATCGCTGCCCTGTTATCCCACTCTCCTGTGGAAAGCAGTGTGGTGTTCCCAGCTGGTTTGTTGGGAATGGGAGAAAGCCCAGCTCTGTCCTATTTGTGATTTTTGGTCCATTTAATGTTTGCTGTCACCATGACAGGATCCCCTCTCTCACTTGCCCCAGAGTGGCAGGACCTTCTCCTTGGTTCCTCCCTGTGGGCCAAGAGGATTTTTGGAGAGCTGTCAGCACTGAAGAGCTTCCCTGTTCCCACCCAGCCTTTGGAGACACAATTTTGCCAAGCAGGGGTTCTCTGTCCTCATAACAGGATCAATCCAGTCTATTTATTTTTATTTATTCTTTTAAAACATGAAATGTTTGCGCTTTACAATCATCCCTGCCCGGCGCTGCACAGAGGAGCTCTCCCAGCTCCATCCAAAGAGGAGGTGCCTCTGTGCTCCCCAAAACCAGCCTCTCTCTTGGAAAGGGGGAGGTTTGGGCTGGCTTTTATAAAACTTGATTTTATTTGTGGCTGGTTTTTAGCTGCCTGTGGCACAGGGGATGTATCCCTGTCCATGTGTCCATGCATGGATCAGCCAACGCTTGTTCTTCTATCAAATCCTGAAAAGCCACAGATTTTTCTATGCTGAGCTGTTTATATCTTGTTTAGTCATCACAGGGGGATTGGACAGCCTGAGCAATAAATGTTTTAGCTACGTGGGGACTATTTAGGATGCTAAATTAATGATTAAACTTTAATATCTCTCCAGTTGCTGCCCGTGGGTATCCAAGTGCCTTAAACATCTGGTTCCGAGGTCCAAGGGAAAGCTCCATTGGCATCAAAGGAGATAGGGATGCTTAGTGAAGGAGATAATTATGCTGATTTACTGTAATTAATATCATTTATGCAGAAGGAATAAAATTAAAATAGAAACTAATCTGTAGCAGAAATAAGTGGGCTGGGTTCCGATGCAGCCTGTGTAGAGCTCTGCCAGGGGTTGTGTATCCTTCCAGCTTGGTGTAAGTAGTTTCAGTGTTTCCTAAATTTTCCTCAAGAAATCTTAATATAAAATGTACAGAGCAGCTTTTTAAAGATATTTTTAGTGTACAGTTTTCCCTTTTTTTTCCCTTTGCACGAAGTTCCTGTCCATCCAAGCTACGATGGGGGAGGAATTTGGTAGTAAAGAATTTGGATGCTGAAGTCCCGGGTTTTAAAATTAAAAACCGGTTTTATGAACGCAACCCATACAGTGAAATACTCTTAATTTTGGGGTCTGAGGAGTCTTGCCAATGAAAGACCACCCACTAATTAATTTGATGCCTCTTACACTGCCTTGTTGGTTCTGTGAACTCCACCCTGACCGTGTTTTTAATTGCACTTTGTTCTGATGTGCTGCCGGAAGAAGCTGATGTGAAGCAGCCCCTCCCCAGAGCTGTGTGTTTTTAGTCTCAGCATTTCAGATACTTGGATTTAGGGATGTCTTTAAAAAAACTCCTCCATGTTTGCTCAGCAGCCCCGTTTGGGGGAGATGCAAAGGGAGGAACCTCCCAAGTCCTTTTGAAACCTCTTTTCTTGTGCTGCTCTTTGGGAATCCAGGATTTCCTCAGGGTCCATGGAAAGTCCAGGCTGCAGGAGAGAAGGGGAGGAGCAGGAGGAGCTGGCTTGGTGTTTCTGCTGCTGGTTAGAAACTCCTCTGGCCTCTTCGGGCTCCAGCCCTGGCCATGGTTTGGTGCTTGCACTCCTGGGACACAGAGAGGCTGATCCGACTGACCCAGGCTGGATTCCCTCTCCTCCCACCCCCAGCCGTGCTGCAGAAGCACAGAGAAAGGTGTGAAGGGTGCTTGAAGCAGCCCACACCTGCTGCCTCCCGTGGGATAACCTGTCCTGGAAGCAAATCTGTGCAGTAGGGCTGGGATGATCCCAGGAATCCAGTGGGAATGAAGAGCAGGAGGAGCTCGTGGTGCCTTCGTGGAGGGAGGACCTTGCTCAGAGCTCTCTTGGTCTTCACAATTTCCTCTGATTTTGGAAACAAAACCTGGCCTCAGATTGCACCCTAAATTCACTCTGATGCAGTACAAGCTCCAGAAAGCCAAAAACATCGAATTTGGCCATGAGGTTGTTCCTGGAGGATTCCCCGACTCTCTCCTGCTCCCTCGCAGCTTTCCTGGGCACGTGTGGTCTTTTCTAAAGGTGTTTTTTCAAATTTTTGGCAGAGTGAGTGCACATTCCTCTACTCAAAGCCATCTTACTTTGCCCCAGCTAAGCTAACTAAGCAGAAAAGAGGTAAAAATCATCATGGAGGTAATAATATCTGTTTTTTACTGATAATATTAGAAAAACTCTACTCTCAGCCTAAAGGAGGAGGTGCTCTTAACTGGAACCACCCAGCACTGAGGCTGGTGTGTGAATAGCTATGCAGATTTTTCCAAGATTTTCATGCACTTTATACAGGGAAGAAGAAGATTTCATGCAGGAGAGTGTCAGTTTTATCAAGTGTCTCATCTCTGGTGTCTCTAGGGGGTTCAGTCCTGCTGGCTGTGTCCCTGAATTGTGGGTGGGTCTCAGATTCTTGGAAATTGGTGCTGGTGGGTTGGAAAAGCTCCATCCCTCCCCTGTTTGTAGGGCTGGGGGTCCCCCCACCCCACAAGGTGTCTGTGGCACCAAGCCAGCCAAGAGGAGGCTGCTCAGAGGGGACTTTTTGGGGTTTTCTCAAGCCAAGCCACACCTTTTTCCTGTGTTAGGTTCAGCTCTTGAGGTGTTTTGAGCTCCATGTCCAAAGTCAAGCCTGTTCACCCCGAGGCTTTGGCCCTTTGCTGTTCCATGATGTTGTTGAGTTGAGGAAAATGAACAGAAGCAAATTCTGTGTGGTGACACCACCCATGTCCTTGAACAGAGGGGGCTGGGGTGGAAATTTCAACACCCCTGTGCTCTCCTACAAAGGCAGGACCCCCTCATTCCTCCCCACAGTGATGGAACCCCACAAAAGCAGGGCCTGGGTGTTTTCCAGCCCTGTCCATGCCCTGTGGAGCTGCCAGAGCCATGTCTGTGGTGATGCTCCCGCTGTCCCTTGGCCAGTTCCTCCAGTTCTTTGCACAAGATTTCCTTTTCCCAGTGCCTTATCCCGGGGCCAGCAGCGAGGCTGGGTGGCCTCGGGGTGCCTGGATTTTAGGGGATGAGGCAGTGAGGGACAATGTGGGCTGGTCACACTTCCCAACACCTCGAGTGGGGTCACAGTCAAGTGTCTTGTTCCTCCATCCCCCCTGTCCATCTTTGGTTTCTGCCCTCTCCACCGTTCCCAAACCAGTGTGTCCCTGCCAGGGTGACACACTGCAGGGGCTCTGTGTACTTTAAATGAGCTGAAATCCAAAGAGACTTTGTAATGAGCTGTAAAGTTTTTAATGATTTCTGTACCATACTAAATGACTGTAATATTGTATCATACGTGCGATGCCGCCTGCAGGACCTGAATAAACGTCTTCTTTAGAGCTGGCATGTCTGTGCTTTATTGTTCCCGTTAGTGGCACCAAAATGTTTAGAATTGGAATAGCTTAGCTTGGAAAAGTTGCCAAAATTGATTCCCAACACTGCCCAGGCCACCACTGACTCATGTCCCCAAGTGCCACATCCTCACAGCTTTTAAATCCCTCCAGGGCTGGTGATTCCAGCATGCCCTGGGCAGTTGTGGCAGTGCCTGACCACGCTTTTGGGGAAGAAGGTTTTCCTAATATCCACAGTGGCATGAGGATCCCAAGAACTTCTCTGCCTTGCTCCAGGTGTGGGGAGGTCACTGCCACAACCAACCCTGCCAGCCAAAAAGGCCTCGGGGTGATAAGACCCCCCCTCAATATTTCATGATGTCCTTGAAACCCCCTGCCTGGGCCACATCATCTCCTTTCTCTTTGGCACCGTTTCTCTCCCAGACAGGGTTTCATGTTGGAAACAACAGGCAGGGTTTGATTTGGATTATTTTGTGTAGTTTTTCAGTTTATCTTGGCTTTTTCCTAGAGCAACAAATGCTGTGTTGATCCCCCCCATCCCCACTGAAACTCAGCGAGCAAAGGATATTTTTATCAGCGCTGTCTTGCAATCAGCACACGAAAACAGCTTTTTTTTCTTCTTCTTTAAAGCCACTTCCCTTTTATGTTTTACCTTCTGAAAGAAAAAAAAACCCTCTTTGGCTGAAACACAGGAGTTGTTTGAAGCAGCATCACTTTGTTCAAACCTCACTCTTCCCGGAAGGTGGCTGTGGCACCTTCCCCACGCTGCCACGTTCTGTTCTGCAGCCAAAGCTGCCTTGAAAAGGCTCCCATCAAAAAGAGCAAGAAAATAATTTTTAAAAACCTCCAAAACTAATAAAGAACACTTTTCCCCCCGTTTTCCTTCAAATTAACACAGCCTTCCATCGGCCTCTCTTGGCTTCAAACACTTTGCCATGGGAGGCAGCAGCCCCTGAGTGGAGAGAGGAGCTGCCCTGCCACGAGCTGGCCACATTTCCAAGGGGGTTTTGCTCACCTTTGGGCACCAACCTGTGATAAATTATTGTTTTTTCCCTGATCAATCTCATTTCCCACCAAAACAGGCACACAAAGGGCTGGAAGTGCAGCTTCTTTGCAAAGCACAGACCTCCAATGTGGGTTTATTCCTCTTGTGTTTCTTGTAACATCTCCAGATGGAGCTTTTTCTGTATTCCTGGTTTTCAGCT